GGGGGGGGGGGGAGGCGGTAGAAAAGTAAGCAGAGGCCAGATCAAATTTGTAAGCCAGAGTAAAGAATTTAAATTGTATATTAAGTATAATATGAAACCATGGGAGGATTTTAAGTAGGGAAACAACAAAATCTGATTTTTATTTTAAAAGATCACTCTAGCTGTTATGGGACAAGAGGCAAGAGTGGAAGCAGTGAAACTAGTAAAGAAGGTATTGCAGTAGACCAGGCAATGATAGAGTCTGCTTGGACTGGGGTGTTAGTGGAAATAAAGAGAAGTGAACAGTTTCAGATTATTTTGAGATGGTAGAGTCAATAGGACTTGATGTATGGAAATGATGGGGTTAAAGGGAAAAAAATCAAGATTAACTCCTAGAGCTAATATGCATTGCCTTATTTAAATCTCACAACAATCCTATGATGCAGATACTATTATTATCCCTATTTTACAGTTGAGAATACAAAAATAATTTACAAATCTGTAGTATCACAGTTTAATTCTGAGCATCATGGTGGTGTAGTGATACCTAGAGTAAAGTATCTTTTTCCACTTTTACCAATATTCCTTGTAACAAGGCCAGAAAATTATTTTGAAAAATCCAAAGAATTTAAGGGAGAGATTTTTTTTCATTTTTATATCAGTCCTAAAGAAGGCCTGAAGTTAAGTCAGTCAAAATTTACTGAGTATGTCTTTACTCAGTACTAACATCTCCAAGAAGCTATGATATATCATTATTACATATATTTCAAGTGTTATAGAGAATTAGTACATGTCCACTACTTTAAGGAGTTTGTTAATTATTTGAGGAGTCAAGAGAGATACACAAGTCTTGACCAGTAAACACCTATATAGAGTTGACCTGCATACTTCTATATAGACTTGATCAGCAAATAACTATATAGTATTATTACAAACACCAGCAGCCATCATATAAACTGAGAAGAAGTAGACCAATATGGTAAAAAGACCAGAAACTTAAGTCAAAAGAACCAGAGCTTAATCCTGCCTCTGCCATTGACAAATAGTGACCCCTGGACACGTTTCAAATCTCTGAGCTCCAACTTTCATCTATAAAATAGGGATAATAATACCTACCTTGCAAATCATTACAAGGATTAAATGAGATAATGATGTGAAGCATCTAACATAGTGCTAGGCACATAGTAGATGGTCAATATTTGGCAGTCAACAAATGGTACTTATTAGTAGCTTATTATTACTACTTAATAAGTGTTAAAAGGATATCAGCAAAGGCGTTATAGATAAAATCAATCTGGAAATGTATTTAATGTACCCTATTTTTGTTTCATTAAAAAATTTCAGATACCTTTTTCCAAAATTCTGATACCCCTGAGAATCCAAAGAACTCACATAGCTACTGTCACAGCCAAACCAATTAGAGTAGTAATGACAATTAGGTTTCACATTTGCCAATTCTGAACTAATAGTAGTAGCTTTCTGGAGCAGTGTTCATAAGGACTCTGCAGCACAGACTGAGAATTCGCCAAGGTGTGGCAAGAAAGTATGACACAGTTAATTAGCAATGTCTGTCATGGGCAAGGAAAGGGGAAGCATTCACACTTGTGTCAAACATTTGCAATTTCAGAACTGGAGTATGCATGTAGGCTTCTAACATTAAGACAACAAAATTTCAGCAAAATAAATCTAGAGTCTTCAAGAGCATGTTTTAGATTATAGATACAAAGGTAAAACAAATTTGAGATTTCAGTCTGCAAGTTGACTTTTTAATCTGAAAAGGGATTATCCACCTTGAAGAAAATTTACTTGCACTTTAAAGTTACTTATTACAACAGGAAAAATAAAGGGATTTTGAAACCAAGTGAACCAAACAGTGTTTATTCAGGCCATAATTCAAATTACTGACCTTCTATCACTCACAAAAACTCCTTAAGAGTGCTGGGACTTGCACCCTAAGGATAAAATGAAAAATATCAATCAAGCACATGAAAGCATAAAGCTATATTCCATTGCTTTGTTTATATAAGTGCTATACAATGTTATACTTAAAATGATGGCACCACATTAACATAGGTGGAAATCTGTCTACCCTGTAAAGATATGACCTATTAGAATTTGAATCAAGTCTACAAAATCATAAATAATTATATTTAATGTAAAAGTCATTTTACCTAAAATAATTCCTAAGTTGACTTACATAGGATTTGTGAGAAATCCAAGGTGAATGCAATAATGTCAACAGCTTTACAAAGATTTCAAAAAAATCCAACTATCCAGCAAAAGGAAAACAAAAAAACAAACAAAAATCCCAAAGAATACCTGTTAGTCCTACCCATACTCGACTTATCCAAGAAATAATAAACCTAATGGTTCTGAGAATACATGAAGTAAAAGAGTAGTTTTGCTTCTGGAACACCGTAAATAATAAATATTTGTGGAATGAATGAGCCTAATTTTTAACATAATTTGTTTTAAATGTTTATTTTTTAAACACGGTAGAACAAATCTAAAGTTCTGAGCCTGAAATTTCATGGTATGGCTCATATACAACTTGGGAGACAAATATTTCCTCTTACAAGCATCACAAGTGTGACAACCTCAACTATCCATTTTCATTTAATAAGACCGAAAGAAAAAACAAAAATAAAGATAATAAAGTCACTAAATTAAAAAAAAAAAAAAAGTTCACCAACTTCACCTATAAGTGAATCCCCATCTATTCCAAGTATCTTTATATAGGTCTACCAAAGAAGATTGAAAGGTTAATAATGTTAGGTGACATTAACTGAAAATTCAGCATATGCACTGTGTAAAGCACTTTCCATGCATCATCTCACTTAATTATCCTGATAACTCTAGGAAGCACTGTCATTAATTTTGTTTTATAAGCAAGCTTAGGCTCAAGAATGGTAGTAGAGCCAGTACTGGAACCAAATCCATTCATTCATTCACTCGTTCAACAAATATTAACATCTACTACATGCCAGACACTATTCTAACCACTGAGGAATACAGTGATGAATAAGACAAAGTCTCTACTCTTGCAACTTATACTCTAATAGGAAATAAATAAATATGTAATATGATATCAACTAGTTATAAGCATAACAAAAATAAAAGAGTAAGGGAATAGACGGGCATGGATGGGAGGTGGGTGCTCTTTTAGCTATAACTTTGCTACACTATTTATCAAATACCAAATTTGAAAAGTAGGTAAGAAAGTGGGGGAGAGACGAATTATTGATAAAATAAGATTAAGCAAAGAAGGTAGTAAAAAAGTTACAATACGTTGACTTAAAAACTCATAGAGTATAGCATGTGATGCCACCTAATATAGGGCTAGCCCAGAAAGCAATAATTATAATAATATATAAAAAGTAGTATTCAGAGAGATTACCTTGGAGTCATCATATACAAATGCAAAAATTATATTCAGTGTAACTTTTAAAAAGTCATCAAACATAGTCAATTTCTATATTTTAAGGGGTAAGCTTCAGTTAATTGATGAATTCAGTTACTTGGAACAGCTCACTCACAACAGTGCAAATAAATAAAACACTGCTTTCCATAAAATAACTGCATGGGAAAGGAGCTAACACTTTTTAAGTATATGTGTTATGTTGTACTTTAAAATACCCAATCTCATTTAATCCTCACAATAACCTTGTAAGACTGGCATTATTCTCAACTCACAGATGGGTAAACAGATTTAGAAAGACTAATATATCTTAGGTCAGGCTGAAAGAGCTTAGGTTCCAACCCAGGCCTCTTTAACTGCAAAAATTCTTGCTTGATTTTAATACTACACCATAATGCTTCATTATAAGATGGACAATAGAATCATAATTCCACAGATCAACTCATTATCACTTCTAGTTTATTAAGAAAGTGATAATTTTTATATATTATTTAATGATATCTTTCTAGGAAACTCAAGGAGGTTCTTTAAATGAAAGTTATAATGGGTCTGAAGATCCAAAGGTGGGAAGATCACACATTCAACACAAAAATTTACCTCCATTCTTTCCCCCAAATCCTTCTAACAGTATGAAGGGATTTTTTAAAGGAAAGAGGCACGTAAGCCTGTAAGGTCAAAATGGAAAGGAGACAACAGCTATAAAACTTTTGGAAACTGGAAAACAAATAGACAAACAATAACCGATCAAGCATTCCCAAGAAAGTGAAAAGCCTTAGACAGCAAACAGAAGAACAAAAAAAACAAGACAACTTGCATCAGAGAACCCCAGAAAGACCCAGGAACTGAGAGCACCAGATACTTCTGAAGTGGAGATAAAAGTAGATCTAGAGAGAAAAAAATTAGTTGAAAGTCTCGTTTAAATAGCATTTAGATCCCTATTATCCTAAAGACTAAGTCCAAGGGAATTTGATGACACCAGGCTGAGTGGAGTGCATGCTATACTGAAACAGAGGTAAAGTCTATATACTGAATGATGGGGTTATCCAGCCCTCTTTCTCCATTCACTCTCAAAATAAGGGCAGAAAGACTTACTGCTCTAGGTAGGAAACTAAAAGATTCTCCTCTGAGAAAACTGACCAGTCCATGAAAAAGTCCTAATGAGAGTGACAGCTTGGTGGAGATAAAGGGATAGTGGGTGTTTTTCAACAAAACATCCCAGGCTAGGTCAACCTACGATGAAAGTCACCAGCCAACATATCTCACCCTATACACAGTTTTCTGTCAGCTTTTTAATGCCCACTTTCATATATAAACAGATAGCCAGCATCTAAGAAAACTCTGATATGAGAGAGATTAAAACAAAGAGATAAAAGGAACTTAGAGGTAAAAGAGAAAACATGAAAGAAGAAAACATCAAAAAAACTATCCTGAGTTATCATCAGATAAGAGGATATAGTGATTATAGGAAAAGAACAGGATGGTTTTTTTTTAAAGGAGCTTTCAAAGAACAAAAAAGAGTTACTAGAAACTTAAAGTATGAGAGCAAAAATGAAAAATTCCATAAAGTAGTGAAGGATAGAGTTAAAGAATAAAGAAAAATAATACTTATAAAGGATTAATTATGTGCTAGGCTCTAGTCTGTTTTACATTTGTTATTTCATTTATTTATACCCAAAACCCTATAAAACAGATATATTATTTTCCCTATGAGAAAACTTAGATCTAGAGTTTAGTTTTCCCACAGTCATAGATAGTAAGTGGCAAATATTGAAATTTGAATTCAGGAAGTCTAATTCCAAAATCCGGGCTTTTAACCATTGTACTTTAGCAGAAAGAAAAAGCAAACAAATGGAAAGTGTGAGTGAGAAAGGATAAGAAAAACAAAAGGATTAATCCAGGCAGTTCAACATGGTGAGCAATAGGTGATCCAAAAGGAGAAAACAGAGAAAAATCAAAGAAATAAATGAAAGAGGCCACTGAGTACATGTAACCTAATGGATAAAATAAGGACTTACACTAAAAAAATTACCTTGAAATTTCAGAACTCTGATGAAAGCTACCGAGTTTTCAAAAAGACAAAGAGGATCTGAAATTAGAATGCATGGGTTTCTCAAAATCAATACTGGAAGCCAATAGCCAGCGGAGCAATATCTTCAGAATTCTTAAGGAAAATGACTGCCATCCTAAAATACTTCCCCATCAAGAAAGTGGGAGGGCCTGGCCAGGCGTGGCTCAGCAGTTGAGCGTCAATCTAGGATCCAGGCAATCGGGGTTTGGGCTGCAGCTGATCAATGACTCTCTCATCATTGATGTTTCTCTCTCTCTCTCTCTCCCTCTCCTTTCCCCTCTCTGAGAGCAATAAAAATATATTTAAAAAAAAAAAAAAGTGGGAGGGTAGAATAAAAAAATTTTCAGTACACCATGCAAGGTCTCAAAAATGTACTCTCCATCCATTTATACACCAAGAAGTTACTATAGGATATGCTCTAGCAAATGAGTAAATAAACCAAGAAAGAGGAAGATCAGATGTGGTGTGAAGGGGGATCCCAGAAATGCAGGCGCTCAACAAGCCTAGGATGCCATCAGCATCCAGATTAGTGTGGGAAGTTAGAGGGTTCTAGTAACATGAAATTTGACAGAATACTGATGATTCGAATATAACGAGAGAAGAGTTTAGGAATAAATTGATGATAGCAAACAAAGAATAAAAAATAAGACAACAATTATTCACTTAATCATGTTTCCTTCTTCCATGAAACACTCCACTCAGATAACTTTGTTACTTTGGGAAAGTAAAAACTGAGTGCCTAAAGGTAAAGCCATCCTATTTCCTATTTCAGGTAAAAAAAATCTTTTATATTTTAATTTTTTCCAAGTAGCATCACAATAATGGAACAGAATGAGAGTCTTAGAAGCAGGGGATCTACTAGCTGTGGCATACTAGGCAAGTCATTTGGTATCTCTGAGCCTCATCTAGAAAAAGTGAAATAATAATACCTATCCCAAAGCTTTATGTGCAGAATTAAAGAGATGTAACATTCCCAGCATAATGCCAAGCACATAGTAAGCACTCAGTGCATACTTGTTAAATCTGAATCATACTGATTGAAAGAGCCAGAAATAGCAATTGGCAGGCAGAGACTCCGTCCACTACATACCTTCTGTGTTGTTGTGTTTGTCGTCTGTGTTGATGGTTTGGTGAAGGTTATTTTCACAGGAGACATGTGGGGTGGTAAGGAGTTGGCAATGCTCTGCATGATATTGCTCATCTTGGGACTTCCACTCACAGGCACAGTAATCGTCTTTGAGACAGGAACAACAGCCTTTGGAACTTCCTTTAGGACAACAGGGGAGGAGCTAGAAGAGTTTGTTCGCCTTCGTTTTCTGGGTTTTTCATCTTCATCTGAACAGCTAACACCTGAAAGGCAATGACAATATTGCTATATTTATACCAATCTAACATTGCATTTTATACCTTATTTTAACATCTTTGTGTCATCAAATGATCAGTAGTAAGTCCTATCAACCCTCCTTTAAAGAAGTTGTCTCTGAATGCCTTCTCCCCTTTCTTCAACCCCATGATGATGTCAAGACCCTCTTATCTCCTGCCTGTATTTTAGTAACAACCTCCTAAAAGGTTTACATGCTTTTAATCTCTACTTCTTTTCCACCTTCCAACCTACTACCAGTTATAAAATCTCATGGGAATGCCCTGCTTCAAATTCTTTAACAGTTTTAATCTCTCTACAAGATAAGGCAGGAAAGTACTACTATATCATTCAAATTCCCATATTTTTACAAGAACACAACAGCCTGTTCCACTCAACCCTGTGTACCTCTATAATCCTAGCACACCAAACTGCTTGCCATTCTATCCATCTGAAGTCTCTATATATTGTTGTTCTTTGGGGAACATCACTTCCCATCACACTGCTTCACCATTCTGCAATCATCATCCTACATGCCATCTCCTCAGTGAATCCAGGTCTCTTGAGCTTATAAAGCACTTTGTATATTCTTTTCATATCAATTACCCCATGGCAATGTGACTGTCAGTCTGCGTATCTCCCAAAATTAAGGGGTTCCCAGAGGGCAATGATTAAGTCTTACTGGTTGTTTCCCTGGTATAGTGCCTTGCACATATAGTTAGGTGAATGAATGACTATATCCCAAACTAATGTTGCCTGTGTGGCTTTGGAAAAATAAAGCAATAAACTTCCTGTTACTTCAAGCTACATATTATGTAAAATGGTTTCTTGATGTTTGGGATTCACTTTCAAAGTTTTAAAAAATTATTAAAAAGTAGATCTCTAAAGTTATTCTAAAAGATCACCTTGGCTAAATCCACAGAAATCAGACATAAAATCAGTAGTCCCAAATTCTTAGTTTTTTCTTTATGTACTAAAAGCCTCAACTGCTTTTGTAGATTTTTTTAAAAATCGAGTGAAACATACCCTTGCAACACATATACAAAATCTCTACAGAGCAGACATTTAAAAATTATACAGCATGATTCGTGGAACTGGTAATAAAATACAACTCTTTACACATTCAGTTTTTAGACTCTAATTTAAACAACATTGACAATGACCTAAAATCATTCCTGTCTAAAACAGCAAACTCTACCTCTAAAAGTTACAAAGAAATCAAGTTTATAACTATATTGAAAAAAATGAAAATCAAATATTAATGATCTCCAGTTGATATCAAAAGCAGAAAAAGAGACATTAAAAACAAAAAAATGAACTGGACATCAAACTGATTTACAGGGTAGAATCAAGGGGTTAAAAACTGCAAATAAACTTCAAAAAATTGTAGTCAATTAGAAAATAAAAGATGGACCCTATAGAATGCTTCACTGAATCTAACATATATGTTATATAACTTTTAAAACACTACAAAGATTACAATTACAGGAGTAAACGCTGAATAAATCACATAAGCACATTCCTTCATTTCTACTCACATTTCTATTCCATGACAATCAAAACAAGTAGATACTTGAAGGACATCACTGTTCAAGGCAGATTCCCCACAGAGAACAAAAGAAAAGTAATTTCTCAACCCCAGAACTGATAAAAAAGCAATACATACCCTAGTCACATGTAAAGAAAAGAATTCTTTAGAACCTTCAAAAACTAACCACTGCTAATAGCCAGTGGATCAATGATTTAAACCAAGAAGGCAGATCTAATCAGAGCCTATGCTGCAGCATTTAGCCAAGAAGGCCCTAATAACACTGAGAATATCACTTACTTTTGACATAAACAGTACTTCCACTTGGCAAGACAACTACATTGGAGGCAGGACTGGCAGGTCTTGGAGACTTAACCGTTGCTATGCTGCCACTTGGAACAGGGGTAGAGGTTGGGGTTGACGTGGTACTTGTGTAGGAATAGCAAACGACTACTGAAGGAACGATAAAAAAGTTTGCTGTTAACTTTCACCAAAACTGTCCACTCATACAGAATAAATTTTTACTGCAGGCCAATTTTAACATTATCATGTGATCAGAAGTTAGAGGCCAGTGCTAGGTATTAGATTTACAAGTTAAAAGATATTAATGACCTTTCCTGAAAATCATCACTTAACTATGTTCCCCCCAAGTATTTAACAGCTGTTTACAGGTGACACTGCCAATGGAGAAAAGCACAGTTACAAAGAAATCAAGTCTAAAACTATACTGAGAAAAATGAAAATCATTTTTCATTCATGGCAGGAGTTAAACAGGCAGGAGTTAAACACTACTTGTATTCCCTTCTAATATTAATAGCAGCACCAATGATGGCGTGAGGGATAATTTTTCCTAACCATAGCAATTTCCAACTTGGCTACTAGGGGAGAACCAAGGCAAGGTGCCTTTATTGTAAACCAGCTCACTAGTCACTTGCCATCCAAGCAGTGCAACAATAACTCAGCTAAAGTAATGACAACATCATATTTCAGTATCTTGAATAACAACGACAAGCAAAAGTAGCTCACAGGTACCATTTACTGAGTGCCATGTGGTATGCTAAATCTTTGTCTTATATTATTACTAATTGTTACAACACCACACCTGCATTTTAAAGATGAGGAACCCAAGCCTTGACAGAAGCTAAAAAACTTGCTGGAGGTCACATAGCTAGGAAATGGCAAAACTAGGATTCAAACATAGATTTCACTATTGGGAATCCTATATTCTTTCCACTCTATCACAGAGTTGCAGATAGAAAGGGGTTAAGAAGGGAGAAAAGACACCTGTCCTACAACAACCAAAACAGAAACTCAATGGAGGTCAAGTTTGCACACTGGTAACTGTCTCTCTCTGAAAACAGCTTCCTTCAACTTAAAGAGAGCCTACGCATGAAAAGCATATCTCACTCTGTTCCACAGCCCACTGCTAGTACAGAAAAGACATATCCCCAAAGTCAGCTGACAACTACATTATTTTCAGGGTCATTTTCATACAACACCAAAGTAAGCTACTAAAGTCAATCCATGTGCGCTCTCAAATTTAATATTACTCTTGGTATCCTCAGGAGAATTCAAAAAATTTTAAATTTTAAAGTATGTGTCATTTACTAGATTAAATAACAGTAAGAAAAGCTTTCTCCATCTGCCAGGTAATCCCTAACGGATTTGGCACATTGACTGGAATAGAGAGCAGCATATACCATTAATTCCAGAAGACAAAAACAGAGCTTTACATTCTCAAGTATAAGTTCAGCATCTTTCCCCAGCAGCTAAATGATGTCTATCATCTTATTTATTTTCCATGTCACCCATTAAGCCCTTTTATTCACCCCTGACAAAATACACACATATCAAAAATTCATTCCAAGACGGCTTTTTGCAATTTGTGATTAATGTGATTCACACTTTGAACAAAAGGGAGATTTAATTCTGGCTGAGACTAAAAACTTAGCAGTTTCTGGTTTCAGAATAAAAATTGTCCACTGTTTTGCAACGTTTAAACACTAGGATAAAAACAGATGAAAAATAAGACAACTTTTCTTAAAGAATCTAGGAAAAGTCACCTCTGTACACAAATATTTTTGTACTCACCTTCCTTGCTTCCTGTTTCTGCAGGCACTGGAAGAGATGCATTGTGCTGGATAGCTGCATTGGCAACAGCATTAGCTGTTACAGTGAAGGCAGTCTGGGGAACCAGCCGGGGCATCAGCGGTACCAATCGACGACCTTCAATGGACCATTCTGAAGAGCTATTAGGTCCAGACATACTGAACAAAAAAGAAAACGCTGCTACAAGGGTTCTCAATCACTAAGAGTGAATCAAATGTTTTCTCAAACAAATATAACTTTTTACATTTAAAAAGTACCCTAGGTGAATAGGAGAGGCTTCATTTCAAGCAAGCAAGATCAAAATTATGAATAATCAGAATTCACGGAATTTCACATATACTAAGTTTCTTACATATTTTATTCTATAATCTGAATCTTATAGTGAATATAACTGAAACTATAAAAACTTTTCCTATGCTTTCTAAATAAATATTGGCATTATTTTCATTAGTTTAAATCCAGTGGTGCTAGTGAAAACCAGTATTTCTACTTTTAGAACTTAATTTTATAAATTAAACTAGAAAGGTAAAAAGTACTCATAATTTTAAAAATCAGATTTTCCTTAATAATTAAGGATGGAATTCAGTGAACCTTTGCAAAATTATCTAACTGCCTGCATGGCCAGAGGTTCTAAGGCTTTCAAAGATGGGAAACTGAGGCAGTAAACGAAGGAGACTCGAGGGATAGAAGAGAGCTGTATATGTCACTGCATGTTTCACTGGCAATGTGTTGCATTATTATTCTAATTGTTAAAAATAACTATATCTGAGGAAATGGAAGAAACCTGCCACTACTTTAATTTTATTTATTTATACCACTCTTCACTCTAAGTATTTTGAGGTTGCTGAACTCTACCCCTAAGCAGGTGCTATTCTCAGTTTCTCTACTCTAAACATCTTGAGCAAATTTTATCCCAGGAATCCAAACAGAGCTTGGAATATGAAAAGACAGTTGCATCACCTCTCTTGGCTCCATAAAAGGTAGTTGTGTCACTTCTCTTAACTAATGATTAGGGTTGAGGTTTAAAATTCACTTAGAATCAACCTCTTCACTAAATCAGAAATATTTCTGTACCTTTTTAAAACCAAAGATTCTATAACCCAACCTAGAGTTCAAGACTTTCTATGTCCACTGATTCTTCATATTTAGAGTACATAATTAGGAGATAGTGGAATGATGATGATGATGATGATGGTAATAATGATAGCTAACATCAATTAAGCACTTACTATATGTCAGGCATTGTTCTAAACACTTTACATGTATTGTTAACTCATGTAATTCTTTCAAAAATTCTATGTAATTGGTAATATTATCTTCATTTTATAGGTGGAGAAACTGAGAGTTTAACTTGTCTAAGGTCACACAGCTATTAAATGTTTCCTTCAACAAGCATATACCATGCTACTGAAATTTACATTATAAGTAGAGTATAAAAATTTTCAAATGTGTTTTATGTCTAACTTTTGCCTTTGATTTATACTAATTGCATACTGCTACCTAATTACTACCAACTTTCATTAAATGGAACAAATAAATTACTTAACAACCTGAGGAGGATTTACATTCAGTTAAGAAAGGAATTTCTAGGAGTTGATGAATTCAATTGGGTTACTGTGGGAAATCTGCAAATTCCCTCATGGTTTAACACAGTCCTACCTAAGATAAGAAAAAGAGGAGTTCCTAAGACCCCAATAACCCTCACAATCTGTTACCATATTATCTCCAAGTTGATGCTAGTTCTGAAACAGAGAGTGGTATAAACAAGAAAGAGAGGTAGGAAACAGCTATAGTTAATTGTCAAAGGGAAAATTCCTAAAAGCTATTTAGCATTTTCTTGGCTAACTCCTATTTTGCTATCATTTTATTAGACTATCACTAATAAATTTGCTTGGTGAGAGTTTACCACACAAAGTGGTATCTTCACTTACCTGGTGCATTGTTTAAATGGCGGCAGAAATTGTGGAAGATTAATAATTTCAAACACATGACTATATGCTATTGAAAAGACAAAATTTGCAGCGCAAAAGACACAACTGCAACTTTTAAGCTATAAATCTTCCAAATTTCTACTCATGCAAACATGCTCAAACTTTAAGTGATGAAAAATTAAACATCATGTTAGAATTAGGTAAAGAATTCCTATCTGCTTAGTAATGAGGGTGTAAATATGCATTAGTTGCACAAATCATCTAAACTAAATTTTAGAAATTTCTGTAAACATCTTACTCCAGGGCTTCCCTGGCACACCTAAGTTATACTAAAATGGCAAAGGAGGGTGGAAACCTTGCTCCAGCCCCGTTTCTGAGAGATCTAACGTGATACTAATAAAACTACCTTGGCCCTCCCATCCTTTGGTGTGCAGGGCATCAGCAAGAAAACCTCATCCTCACATAGAAACTCACACAGTATTCTATGATGTTGGGCCCACAAAAAAGGGGTTAGGAGAACAATAATTCCAAACTACCACTTTCTTTGAACTCTAGAGACAATGCTGGCAAGAGTGGCCCAATTAAAAACTATGAAGCCCCTTGACATTCCAGGCTTTAATACTACAATATTCTGACATGTTTCAAAACTAAATAAAAGTATCAAACTTAATAAATGGTCTGGTACCAAACAATAAACAAGTGTTATGCTTCAAGCCACAAGCAAGGTTTTTCTTTGATCCCAGACATCCCACTCCTTTTGTTTCTACCTCCTTTGTGCTCAGTCTTCTCAGCTTTCTCTTTACCTTTCAACCACATTCCTTGGGCCTAAGCTGATGTTTTGAGTGGGGGAGGGAAGGGAGAGGAGAAAGGGAATGCAGTCAATTCAGATGCATTCCTCCTCAGCTGGAGTTGCTTTTTTCAGGCTCAGAGTATGACGCCCTCCTATAGATATTCTTGCCCTCCTATAGATATTCTTTGAAACTAGGTTCTATTGCTATCTCTGAGGGAAAGGCAAAGGAGATGGAACAAATGAGGGATCTATGCCTTCCTCACCATTCCCACTCACTGACCTTTGGGCTCAACAAGTAAAGGTGACATCTGAGCAAATTAAACCACAATACAAAATATTAAAACAGGAATATGGAAAGACCTAAGAAGCTTAAAATTATACACTGAAGTAAACTCTTTTCAAAAAATTAAATTCACGTATTAAAGAAATCAGAAAGGAGAGGGGGGAAAAAGGAAACACAGGCAGATAAAAGCCAACTCTCAATTATCCATGCTAATAGATAGAGGAGGGAAAGGGAGAGGTCGAACAGATTAAAGAAACCCACATATTATCTAAAATTACTTTGGCAAATACTTGAAAATTATTCCACCAAACTTTTCCAGGACAACTAATAAGTAGTAAAATAACTAATTAAAATTTTCACCTCCTCTCCCTTCCCACCCTCTGACTAGAGGTACTCCCAAGCAGCAAAATGGCTAAAGGATGGTAGTATTAGGTAGGGGAGAAGGGAAGAGAAGGAAAAGCAAGGGGCAGGGTTAATTTGTAAATGGAATATACGCCCCTGAATAATTGAGAGCTTCAATTTCGAAATAAATACAAGAAAAAGCCTGAAATAATAATAACCTATTTGCATACCTGTAACTTGGTCTTTCACCCAAATATAAGGATAAATTCATTCTTTAAAGGGGAAAAAAGGAAAAGGAGACTAAATAAATGTTATCCTTTAAGTATGACACTGATGCATCAACTTACAACTATTGCCCCACAATACTGTTCCAATGGTTTTAAGGTACTAATTTTATATCTAAGTGCCTCTGAATACAAGCTACTGTTAACAACTTTATTATCTAGCACATTACTTTCCTATTACCAGTTCTCAAATTAGAATCTAGGCTCAGTTATTACTTTTAGAGCATCCCGACTCAAAAGTTTACAGCAAATTAAAGAAGGAACACATTAATATTTTAATGTTTCAACCATGTTGGCCTGACAACTAAATACTTAATATTTCTAATGGAAAATTTCCAAATTTCTACAGTGCATACATATCTACCACTGAAAACTCTCAAAATTCAAATAGCTAAACTTTCAAACTATGCAGTTAAAAAGATAGCACCTCATTTTATAGGTTAAGTAAAATGAGGAACAGTGAACCACAACATGAAGCTAACGGATTTTCAGGGTCAATTAATTTAAATGTACTACTTATCACATTATGAAAATGCACTGAATTTTTTCCTTTAGTCTTATCTCACATTAAAACATAAAAATAAAAAACAAATTAATTATACTATATTTTATGAAATGGTCCTATCATCTTGCATTGACATTTAAGGGATAATTTCTGTTCCTTTCTCTTCTTTAGGAGGCACTGTCTCCAAAAATACTCTACTGCCGTTAGTCCTCCACCACCCTCCACTCCATCTGCCAAATAGTTAAAATAGTCCAAAAACTATTTAATAAGAATCCTTTATGACTATATTTTGTTTGCTTTTTAAAAATATACTGGATTCATATTCCTTAAAAGCAGAACATATATTTTACAATCTTTCTGTGAGTCTCAAAACTTGTGAAATATTAGAGTCAGTTATAAAAAAATTTATAATGCCTACTTATAAAGCAATATACATATCAAATACCATTACAAAGAACCTCTAAGGGAATGTCAAATTTGGGGAGCACATTACTTTGTTACTGAACTTTGCTTTAAGTGACTCATCTATTAAATTCTAGGGGACTTTAACCTGAGCACTTAGAGCTTGCCTAACCAAATGCAAAAACTTAACCAACTGAACAAACAGTTAATACCATTATGGTCAGGATCCCTGAGTATAGCTGTATTACTATTAAAAGACTCAGGGATCTGCTACACAATAGGAAGACTATTTCAAAACTATATTATACTGTGTCATAAGAAATCAGGGGTGGTATGACTAATGGCTTACTTATGTGCAATTGTTGTTAACCGTTCATCGTTTACTGCTCTCCGAACTTCAGCACGGTGGCGTTCTGTTGAGATGCTATGGAAAAAAATAGCCATTATAGAACTCTGTCAAGCAGGCAGCTCTTTTCTATACTTTTACTAATGTTTAAGCCAACATTCTGCTTGGGGGGAGGCAAAGTTGATTCATGAAAAGATACAGATGGGGCCTAACATATACCTTCAAATGCTTTATTTAATTAAATTCATAGAAAAGGATTCATACTGATTCTGTGTAACTGCAGAAAGAATTAGCTACAAATCTGAAACCACAAATTCAGCTTGATATCAAGTCATTACCTCCAAAATGTCAGACCACGTTCAAGATTAGCAGAGGTTCCTATAATCTAAATATGCAAACAGCCACTGAATGGCCCTTAATCACTCAAGAGAAAGTCTTCTGAAGTCCTTTCTAAAGCTCAAGAGTCTATAATTTTATGTTCACTGAATATAATAAAGAAATGAAAGTGACAAGATAATCTGTTTCTGGTGACTATAAGCTAATGAAACTTAACACCAGGATATTACTCCTTTATTACCCCACATTTCAGCTGTGTGTGTTCTACAGTATATCATGTTACCACTATGGTAAAAATGTGCTTATATTAATCCTGACTAAAGCTAATACTAAACAATTGAAAAAAAGCTATACCATTCCATTCATAAATACTCAATAAAATAAATACCACTCTTCAAATTGTAGTCTTTAGTGCATTAGCTAAATCTATACCATGGACTAAAATAAAATTTAAGAGGCTAGAAAGCAGAATTTATGAGTAAATATAAACAACAAACAAAAAATATAAACTGTTAAAGATGAAGACAATAAGATTGAGGGTTTGGCTTAATAATGTTCCCATATTAATGTTAACTAACTATAGGAAAAGCCTCTTCCCTATTTTCACTTTAAAAAGTTGTTTTTAAATATAGAAAGGAAACTTCAGTTAAAACAGAACATTTTCTGAGAAATCTCATGATATTAGAATGGATTAATCAAAATATCAAAGAACCCCTTCCACAAGAATTTTTTAATGGATTCAAATGCCACTCTAATGGGAAGCTGAAGGGATAATCTATCCTTAAGGCTATGACTATATAATTACCACCCATTTCTATAAATTAAGACAACTTCCTAGCATCTCCTTCTTCCCCTCAAAAAATGTGACTAGGCCACTCTGTATCTTCACATCTAGTTGCTACCAGCTCTTCTTTCCTCTACCCATGTCAAAAATACCTCCCTTTCCCAGCTGGCCCAAGCCTAAAATAACCTGCCTTAAACCCTTTCTGATTATATTACAGAATAAACGGTAAATTGCAGAATTCTCTGTAACAAAGCACACAATTGGGATGGGATCTTTAAGCACCAACAACCTGAAGACCTGCCTTCAATTTGAGTGTGAGAAGTACTGAAACCTCTCAAAATGAAAATTCTATAGAGTCATGTCTCACAAACTTTTATGATAATTTACCTAAGAACTTTTGAGAGTTCTCCAAGAAGATCTTTCTTTTCCTTGGTGAGATCCCCCTGTGCCCGAAGTGCACTGATAACTCCAGCATATGCCTCCAATTCTAGAAGAAGAAAATTATTTTATCAAGAAAAGCCTTCAATATTTTAATACTGTGGCTACATATAGTGAAACTTCAGGGCAAGAAACCTAGAAATCAATAAAATATCAATATACAAATACATTTTTTAAATTCCTCTCAAAAATGTTATCTAATAACATAGATTAAAATGTGGCTTTTATAATTTTATATCACTTTCTTGTTATTACCTCAAGAAGTCATGTATTTAAAATATGGAGGTAGAAAAATCTAATGGTAAATATTTTGTCTCACACATTATCACTAAAGGACATTTAACTCAAATGCTACCAACAACTGGAAACAGACTCTACATGATATAATAAGGCCGATAAAAAGAAGTTTGTAGCATTACTGAAAGGTACCTTCACCTTTAATCCTTGAAATAATTCCTTAGGCTTGCTTAAGAATTCAAACTGTATTCCACATACCTCCTCAGTAGTTAAGAGTACTGTGAGTATTGTGCAGTTGAAAAACTACCGGAACAAAAGTCAAGTGCCCAGATTCTGACTCCAGCACCACCACTTACTAGTTCTATGACCTTGGACAAGTCCTTTCTCATCTCTGAGCCTCAGTTTCTTTATCTAGAAGAGGCTCTGAAGGTACCTTCCAGATCTAAGAGTTTCTCCAGCTATAAAAACCACCATCAAAATGATTAAGGCAAATTAGGAAACATGAATTACTCTTACAGCAACCAGGACTTAATATACTGAACCCTAATGCCAGAAAGTTTCATTTCACTACCTTTCCACAGCAACAACCATTATAAAATAAAACTGTCAATCCCTAGTACTGGTTAAAATATAAAACCAAAAAGTCCTCAATGCCCAGCCAGCATGGTTCAGTGGCTGAGCATCAACCCAGGAACCAGGAGATCATGGTTCAATTCCTGGTCAGGGCAGATGCCCAGGTTGTGGGCTCTATCCCAATAGGCTGTGTGCAGGAGGCAGCCGATCAATGACTCTCATCATTGATGTTTCTATCTTTCTCTCCCTCTCCCTTCCTCTCTCTGAAATAATTTTTTTAAAACCCTATTTTTTTTAAAAGTCCTCAATGGTTCCCAATGAACCATGCCTGCCTTCCAGTGCACTCATCTACTACCTTTGTATATAGTCCCCTCCCACGCTGACTTGCTTTCATCCATAAAATATCAGCATAAGTGATGCAAACAGGTAAACACTTGCACACAGGGCCTACCTCTCTTGGAACCCTGAAATCACCAAGCTGTGAAAAAGCCCAGAATGAAAGGCGACATGGAGAGAGAAGCCCAGTCATCTCAGGTGAGTCCAGTCAACCAGCTAAGCTACCAACAGCTAAATGAGGGAGCTCAGGCAAGACCAGCCAATCACAGATTCTTGAGAAATAATAACTGTTGCTTTAAATCATTAATACTATGAGACAGGTATATCTAAGTAAAACAAAATGGTGGAAAATAAGTGTCCAGACTGCAGTTATCTTCTTACTAAATTCAATTTGCTACCAGTATTTTCCACTAGCCAATGCCTGACACACAAGACAATGTTAGCCAAATAATGAAAGCAAGAATACCTGCATCCCAAGTACTACATTAATAATAAACTAATAGCTCCATTCAGTTCGTATTATTCACAGTTCTGTCAGGGGAAAAAAAAAAAGCTTTATATGGAAAGGTGAGCTGACTGTATTAAATAAAAATCTCTGGTCCAAATGAATTATCCCAGCTGTAAACATCCTACATCTCCAATCTGTGCTGGACACTAGGTCGAAGTTTCACGAGAATCTCTCTGGAAGGACAAAGCTCTGCTACTCTGGAATAGTGAAAGAAAATACTCAGCTCCAGAAAACATATATTTTACCTATTATCAGGACCCAAAGTAGAGTTCAGAAAGACTTGGAATAACCAACTAAGAAATCACTGCACTCTAAATGTTTATGCCCCACTTAAATAATTTGAAATATTTTATTTGACAAATCAGTATTGAGTCCTACTGTATATACCAGACAGTATGCTAAATACTGCCCTCAAGGAGTTAACTCTAGAATAAAGCTACAGTGAAGCAAGTCATGGGGCAATTATGATACAGTTTACAATACAGTGGTAAAGGCACAGAGGAGAAACACATCATCTAGTCTGGAAACATAAGCTTTAATCAGAAAGAGACCCATGCTCCAGGCAAGCAGGGGGAAAAAAGGCAAATGTGCAAAATAGAGACTAAAAGAGCAGATAATGTTTCAAACAGACATCAAACTTCCAGTAACAGTCAGTGACTATTTTGAGAGTTTTATACTAGGGGAAGTAAAAATATGTCTGTACTTAGATAGTCACTAATTCAAACCAAACTACTAGTTGAACATTACTACTACAAGGTACCATGGAGAATATTTACAAAAACAAATCAAAGTCCCTATCCTCAAGGGGATTAAAATCCAACAAGGGACACATGGAAGGGAATAGAGGATAAAAATGGAAAAGTAGTTTGGTACCAGAGTAAGAAAAGCCTCCAATTCCAGTCTAAAAAGGTAGGACACAGTAATTGAATGTGGAAGGAATGCCAGAAAAAAAGGAATCATATTTTGCAATTTACAAGATATTTAGGAGAATATCAATATCGTAAGAAATGGAGAAGTCAGAGAGAGAAAAGTGATTGAGGAAAAAGAAAAAGAAGTTGACTTTTGGCCTTTGGAATTTATGGTGATCAAGACACTATTTCAAAAAAAGTAAAATTAACTAAAGAAATGTGACAGATTTTTTTTTAATCTATTGATTTCAGAGAGAGGAAGGGAGAGGGAGAGAGGGATAGAAACATCAATGATGAGAGAGTCATTATTGATCAGCTGTCTCCTGCACACCCCTGACTGGGGATCAAGCGGGCAACCCCAGAATGTGCCCTAACCAGGAATGGAACCACAATCTCCTGGATCCTAGGTGGATGCTCAACCACTGAGCCAGGCCCAACAGGGCATGACAAAGATTTTTGACACTGCAAGTCTCACTCCAAGTCTAATTAAAAAGTCATGCACAAGCCCTGGCTGGTATGGTCAGAGCATCAGCCTGTGCACCAAAGGGTTGCAGGTTCAATTCCTGGTCAAGGGCATGTACCTGGGTTTCAGGCTCATTCTGGCCCCAGTCAGGGCTGGTGCTGGAGGCAATCGAGCTATGTGTCTCTCTCACATCCATGTTTCTCTCTCTCTCCCCCCACTCCTCCCTCTCTTCCACTCTATCTAAAAGTAATGAGAAAATATCCTTGTGTGAGGATTAAAAAAAAAAAAGTCATGCACAAATACAAGAGGTGGCAACCTCACACAATACTGGGACTCAGAACAGTTATCATAGCTACACAATCAAAGGCACTTCCTCTCCTTCTCCAGAAATTCACTCATTGCAAAGAACTTTTAATAGCTTCCCAACCTTCTTCACATTTGCTGATTTCCATTTTGATGGGTATCCTCAGATCCTGACAAAAATCAATTTCTGATATTAATTTTGATGCCATTCTATTATAGTGTTAACTTTAATGACACATAAGTATAATGAAATAATAAACACATGCAAAAACCACAGAAAACAAAAAATTTACCAAATTTTTATAAAATCCTCAACCCATTCCATTTAAACAAATCAGCCATTCAATTTTACTACAGTCCACAAAGCCCCATTAGAGTTACAGCTCAAGAATCCTCATTCACTCACACACACACACACACACACACACACACACACACACTAGGGGAAAGGCAGGATAAAAGAAAGGAAGCATTTAACCATCTCTGGTATGTTCAATACACCATAAAAAAATTCTCTATCCCAGTTTCTTTATATTTAAGTAAAATCTAAATGTTTAGCATCTTACCTTACAATTATTTATAACTATTTTTAAAAGGAAAAGCTAATTCTTAAAATATTTTAAGCTAATTCTTAAATACAGTACCTTCTCTAAACTTAGAACCTGGAGCTAGTATTTGAAGGAAAGGTTGCATTATTATGATAATCAGCTGACGGGTGGGAAGGAAGTCTCTGCAAATCACCATCAAGGCTCACCTCAGAAGTGAAGGGTCACTGAAGATGACATTACCCAGTAGGAAGGCTGTTTTCTTTTGTATAGGGCAGCTCTCCAGTAGCATTACCCACACAGCTCTGACTAAAATCAAGGACAAATTTAGACTTAAAGGTTACCATTTTTATATTTAAACATAATGTCTTGATTCACGGCCCCAAAAGCCCGGAAACCTTAATCAATCTACTGTAGTTGTGATCTGTTCCTCTTAATTATTTCAGCTATGAAATAATAACAAGCCCAACTTCACAGTTGGTAGCTAGCAAGTTATAGCAACTGCATTTAAGTGTGTAGAAAACCATCCTCAAATTAGTACTAAGTTTGGATCTAAGGTTAAAGAGGAAAAAAGATAAAGAAATGATTGACCACAAACAAAAACAAAAAACAACTCTCTAGTTGTGCTAAAATACAATGCTAAGTAGTTCAAAATAGAGAATTCCTCATAGCGGCATAAAGGGAAATATAGACAGCCAAAGTTATTAACAGGCAGGGCAAAAGCAGCTATGACCAGATTGATACGTAGAAATTCCCAACAAACATTTATTTTGAAAAGATTTATCTGCAAAAAAATAAATTAATGTCTAAAAGCAACTGCTTTAAAATACTATATACTCAGATGTCAGGCACTATGATAGGTCCTTTTTATATACAATTAATCTACATAACAAACTTATGCAGCAGATATTGTTATCCTTCCTTTACAAGTGTTGATATTACCCTTGATCATGTGGATCATTAATAACAAAACCAAGACCCCAGGCCCATCTGAATTCAAGGTCTACATTTCCCCTTCAAAATCACAGATATCTAATAATTCATTTCTACTGCCAAAACATTTAACGTTCTTGTCAAATACTTTTTCATTTATTGAGCACCTACTATGTGCTTGCCTGAGACAACAGTGGTAAATGAGACAACAAGGTCCTTCTTCAACCTTATAGTCTAAAGCAGCATTTCTCAACCAAGGATCCTCATCTAAACCACAGAAATACAGAAAATGATTTGAGTGACTCTTTTTCTCAATCTTCCCACAACTAATACCATTCTAGATGCATGAGAAGTTAGTTCATTATATACAACAGATACCTTAGCATTAATTCCCTAAATGCTAGTTAAGAAAGGCTGCTCTAAAGTAAAAGAAATACTATATAATTCATTACAACCACAAAGGGTGTTTTATTACTAATAGTAAAATATAACTTAGGAAAGTCAGCATAGCTTACATTAACTTATAATTCAGAAACAATATGTAATTCACACATACATTCATGAAGGTTAAAAGTATGCTAAAGTGAGACAGGAATCATATTCCCTGGGTTGAAACCCTGACTCCAGGGCATACTATCAGCATTACCTTGGGTTCTAAGCTTCAGTTTTGTCATCTGTAAAATGGAGACAAAAAAAGGAAAATACCTACTTTTTTGGTTTGAGGATTAAATGAGAATGTAAAGAACTCAGAATAGCCCAGTAACCCTCAAGAATTCTCGGTTGCTATGATTATTGTTATGATTCATGCACCTACTATGTACAAAAATAACAATGAGTAAGAGGAGAACAATACCTCTAAAGAATTTCTAACACAGCAAGAAATATGCCATCCATGCAAACAGCCATGATGCAAACAAAAAGAGAAAAGTATCATACAGGCATAAAACACAGAAAATGAAAAGCATACCCAATTTTCGAAGAATCCTTTTGCATTCATCCCTGCTGAGATCCAAAAGGGTTGGCCACACAACAGGCATTGCTGCTTCTTTTTGGTAGCCCCAAAGAGCTTGTCTTCTCTACCAAAACAAAAAATCAAATTACCAAAGTACATTCAAAAGGCCACTCACCTTGAAATCCACAGGCTAAGAAGTAATACCAACAATAAGAATATCTCACAATCCTATTTCACCACACTTTCCAACTTCTGACAAATGAATAACTAAACCACCATTTGGAAGCATACTATTCCAGCGCATGACTTGAAAGAGCACGGGCTATAGAGTCAGACACCTCTAGATTTAGTTCCAGATTTCATCTTACTGGTTGTGTGATCCTGGGAAAAATGGCCTGAACACATCTATCTCTAAAGCAGAGGTATCATTATCACCCAGTTTGTTATGAGGATTAGAGAACTGTGTATGTGAAGTTCTTATCATTGTGGCCGGTACATTGTTTAACAAACAGGCACTACTACCTGTGTAACCTTGGAAAAGTTACTTGACTTTTGTTGGCTTTTTCACTTATGAGTTACATGAGATAAAATACGTAAAAGCTCCTATGGAACTTAATAAAGAACTTTCTCCTCAATCCTAACAATGAAAGATGATGAATGCACACCCTGTAGTCTTTAAGCCAAAAGTTTAGATGCCAGGAACTTACCTGGTAACGAGAATTCCCTAATCTGGAGGATAAAAAGACAACAGTGCTGGGCACTTGCACAATACCTGCTTAGCACATAGTGGACCCACTGTAAATGTTTTTTAAATAGATAAATGAATGACTGAGAAGAGTAAAATAAATGAGTGAATGAACGAGTGAGTGAGCTCACTATCTGGTCTAGGAGTCAGGCACCGAACCCTAAGAACTGCTTAGGCGCTGGGGCTGCTAACTCCCAACTCCTCATCAGGAGTTGAGTCCCCCTCCCCCTACTTCCCATAGTCCTCTCAGCTAAGAACCAACCCAGAGCAAGGACAAGCGTACTGCGCGCCCCAGCCGGCAGGATGACATAAAGAAAAGGGGTGGGGAGGAGGAAGAAGGGGCAGAGCCAAAGGAATCCGCTCCCTCCACAAGCCAGTCCCCGCCTCCCGACAGGATTTTGGAGGCGCCGGCGACCGCCGGAATCAAGCACCACGTCACGGCATCTCGACGCGTCCCCGCCAGCGGACCCCACCGCGGGGCCACATCGCACTGGAAACCTGGGCAGCCAGCTGCCGGAGCCTGATCCCGGAACCGGGATCCCGTATAATCCTTCCCCGACTCATGTGTCAAGGAGACAAGCCCGCCCCGCCCCCTCCCCAAACGCGCACTCGCGCAGCACCACAACAAGAGCAGCCAGCCCACCCTCCTCACCGTTGCCCGGTTGGCGCCGACCCTAATATCAAGCCCACGACCCAAGCCCTTCGGGGCCCGTAGCCAGTGTCAAGGGCCCCGGTCAACATCAGCGCTTCGCTCCCTCCTCTACGGAGTGGACAACGAAGAGAGAGGAGGCGCGTGGACAGCCAGGCAGATGACCAAGACTCACCGAGAGGCTCCCTGGGCTGGACCCCCGGAATTCCAGCACAAGGCCTGCTAGAGTCCCCCTCAACCCACCTCGGGAGCCCAACGATCCCGTTAGGAGACAACGGAGGATGGGGCTGGGCGCCCCAAGCCGGGCTCTGAATGCTTGGACCAGCGCTCCTCCTGCCTGGCTAATCTGCCACCTCTTCCCAGCACCCTGTCTGCGAGTCACCCACCTGCCCGGCCTTTCGGGGCTCATCTAAAAGGCTCCTCCGCCAAGACTAGGGGACACCAGGAATTGGGTTTGTTTGCGGTGCCTCAGAAGGGGCAAGATGGCGACAGGTATGAGGGCGCAGGCGCAGCTGCGCGCTGCCAGTCGGGAAATGTAGTTCGCCTTTCCCGCCCTTGGGAGAACAGACAGCAGAAGGCCGCCTTTCTCCCTTTCCTTCTTTTCCTCCGCGTTTTGAAAAGAAACGAGAGACATCGCGAGGGGAGCTGGGAGTTGTGGTCCGAACCCAAACTCTTCTTTCGCCTTCGGTCCTCCGTCGCACGCGCAAGGAAGACTGGGATTGTAGTTTCTTTGGCTTCTTCATCCCCTCCACTCCAGCTTCGCGCGCCTCGCCTCCGGCTACCACCTCTCAACCAATCAGCTGCGCTCTCTACTACGTGTGGCGTCACACGTAGCGGCCAAAATGGCGTCGGTACCTGGAGCTGAAGGTTTTTCGCGACCTTTATTTTAAGTGAGGTTAGGGACGGTAGGAGAACAGCTCTGTCCCCGAAGTGACACGGAGTCTTAGGATCAGGTCCAAGGGAGTCATGGGAGCAATTCTCAGCGGCTGTTAACATCCCCCCCAGATGCATCTCGGAGAGAGAGTCTGCGCTACGAGCACCGATGTAGTGGACATCACAGTTGGCTTGTGCCTGATGTGGGGGTTGCGAAGTTGCGAAGAAGGGGGACCCGAGCGTCCTGGAATTAGGGTTTCTCCACGTGTGAAGTGGGAATGATAGTGCTATCTCGTGCTCTGTCAAAGGCAAGAAGGAGAAGGGATTTATTTGAGGCCCTATGACGTGTTAGGATCACCCGTTAGCCTTTGTTCTTACAGCTGTGTGAAGAAGGTATTGTCCGTTTTACAGATGAGAAAAGGGGACAAATATATAGTTACTCGCTGCCATAAAATCGAAGCCAGTGCCTGCTATTGAAGATTCAGTCAAAGGTTGTGATTGCCCTCACTCTTAAATTTTGTACTTTTGGAAATAGGAACTGGTAAAAATGCTCAAATCAAAATGGTTTTTAATATGCTTTCTGATATTAACAAAATTTCCTTGAAAAAAAAAGTGGGGTCCGTACTACCCTGTGGGGATGTTGTGTGATACACAACGTAGAAAAAAGTTATTTGTAAATTGTGGACCACTGTACAAACGTGTGAGACAGTTCATGTTCTTGAATAGTGCTGTAGGTGAGAAAGAAAAAATAACAGCATTTAAATTTCCTACTATTTGCCCATTAGCCAAAATACTCTCCAGGGCAATTATTACTGTAAAACTAAAGTCTGCCTCCAGAAAATCATGAAATGGGGCAAGTAATGGCAAGCTCTCCCTCCTTTCCCTCTGATCTTCCAATGCATTCTCTTCCATCTATTACCCCCTAATTTGAGGCACTACCTGTTCTCAGCCCAATTTCTTAAGAACTCTTGGAAAGATAGTAAATGAAACCTTAATAGGATATTTTGTAGTTTAACATACATTCTTTGAATTGAGGCTCACAGCATGTCAGTGAGGCAGGCATAATTACTATGAATAAGAAAAACACATATTCAAGAACTCACCCAATTTCACAAAGCTCAGAATTGAAGGGAGCTGGGCTTTATAACCCCAGGTCTTCTGTCTAGTGTCTTCCTCTACAACAAATGTCAAGATGACAGGTAGTGGAGTAGAAATGGAAAGACAAGCTGCTTATAAAACCAACCCTGACCATAATAAGGAGCATATGAGTCAAGAATTAGTATAGCTTTTGTGCTTACTAGGTGCCAGTACTGTTCTAAGCATTTCACATATTAATTCACTTAGTCCTTAAAACAACTTAATTAGGTAGAAACTATTTGAAGGAGGAAATTGAAGCATAGGAAGGAGATTAAATACCTTGCCTAAAGTCACACATTATAAGTAAATGGTAAAGCCAGGATTTAAACTTAAGCAGCTTGACTCCAGAATCTGCTCTAGACCAGTGGTTCTCAAGCTTTAATGTTCAATAAGAACCATTTGAGGATCTTGTTAAAATGCAAATTTCGATTGAGTAGGTCTGGGTAGGGCCTAAGATCCTATATTTCTAAGCTTTCAAGTGATGCTCTGGCATCAACTACCTCTTGTTCTGGCCACCATGGCCAGAAGAATATACCTAAGGAACTAACAGTAAAGGTAGAACAAGATCCCTACTGTACAGGACAAGGCCTGACAAGCTAGCCCAGCAATCACTGCCGCCCCCCCCCGCCCCCACCCCCGAGTTCCCGTAGAAAGAACAAACCAGTCTCACTCCAACCAAGCATAACCCCATTACTCATTGTAAGACATTGTGTTTAAATAGTTCCTTTTGTGTTGCTAAAGATCCCCCCTTGTTTCCTGTACCAAAAGCTGACAGCCTGACAAATTATTGGAAACCCCTTTACTGCAGTGCCTTTGTGGTTACTGAGTATAAAGTGAGAGAAGAACTGAGGGTCAGTGCTGCAGTTCGGCTCTTACATGGGTGAGATGCCACAACTGTAGCCGCTGGCCAGCTAATAAAGGCTCCAAAATTCAAACACAAACTCTGGTGGTCGTCTGTCACCGGTCACCCCAGAACACTCTATTACATATCTTCCCTTTCCTCCTAGCCCATATTTGTCTTCTGTAGCCAGAATCTGCCTTCCCCATGCTGCCTCTGACTGCTTCATATTCCCCAAATTAAATTCTCTTCTTTAGGTATCAAATTTAAACTTCATCCTCAAGAAGCTAATCCTTTCCCTACCTTTCCTTCAAGGATGAGACAGGCAGTCCCATCTCTGCTCCCATACCACTTACTACACATCTGTTACAGAACTCAAAACATTGAGTTATGGTCGTTTGAAAATTGTCCTGACTAAACAATGAGGTCCTGAGGGAGAGAGACCAAATCTGTGCATACTAGTGCCCAGCACAGAAGAATAATAGCTAATACTTATCCAGGGCTTTCTCTACTCTAGATGCTATTACATACATTAACTTGTTCCATCTCCACCAAACCTTATGAGATATAGTATTATCCCCATTTTATGGCTAAAGAAACAGAGAGGTTAAGTAGTTTGCCCAAGGTAACAAGCTAGTAAATAGCAGAGCCATGACTGCAAGTGAAGGCACTTTGACTTCAGGAAATGTGTGGTAAATAAAATGAGAGCCATCCTCCACTTCCAAAGAAGAAAAACTAAGACATCCTACTAGACATAACTACTCTAGTCTTGGAAAACGTACTGGAGTATAATACCTGTCGCAAACACTATTACTCTATTGACTAAGCAGTTTTCTTGAAACAGACTCCAAGATGCGTGCCATTCACCGTTCTAATTTCGTAGTGCCATATTAGACAAGGTAGATTCCACTGTTGTCATGAAAATGTTAACCTTCTATAGTGTTATACAGGTAGGCAAATTGAAATGGATAAGACCTTAGAGATTTATTTTCTAAATGAAAAAAACTAGTTCCAAAGAAGTTGAATGAGTTAACCAAAATCATACAGGAATTTCATGGCAGGCCTGGGACGAAAAACCAGCCTTTAAGTTACAGGCTTCTGCTCATTCCACTGTACCACACTGCTCTTAGGTTCTTACCTTCAGAAAGTTTTACCACACTGGTTTAGCCAAGGAGCCATGGTGTGTACTGAAAATGGGAATAGAAAGACCAAAAAAAAAAAATTAAAAACCCAAGTAGAATATTAAATAAATAGACCAAAATGAGTAGATTTGGGGGACAGAAAAGAAAGAAGGAAAGTAAACGGGACAACTGGCAATTACACATCCAGTCTCAATGGAGGATCAGAAGTGTTAGAACAGCCCTAGCCGGTTGGGCTCAGTGGTTAGAGCGTCGGCCTGCAGACTGAAGGGTCCCAGGTTCGATTCCAGCCAAGGGCGCATACTTCAGTTGCAGGCTCGATCCCGGCCCTGGTCGATGCTCGAGCGGGAGGCAACCAATCGATGTGTCTCTCTCACATCGATGTTTCTCTCTCTCTCCCTTCCGCTCTCTCTGAAAAGCAATGGAAAAAATATTCTTGGGTGAGGATTAAAAAAATAAAAATAAGCGCTAGAACAGCTTCAGGAAAGAGGTGAAAGATCTGGCCACTGCCTTTACTCCTTTCCCTCGCTGTTGTCAAATTCTATAGTCTCTGCTTCCTAAACAGCTGACCCATTGTTTCAGTGGGCTGATGATGAGGCCTCATCACCTCTGTGAAATGGACCTTTTCACCAACCCTTTTCTTTCAAAGGAATCTCTCTGCACTCCTTGCCCAGTGCATCCGCCATACTGTCAGTGCTGTCAGGGTGAGCTTTCTGTAATTAAAAGCTCACCCTGTCAGTCCCCTGTATAAAACTTTCCAGTGGCTCCCAGTTGCCAACAAAGTTCCAGCTTTTTTACAGGCAAACCCATGCCAATGCAAAGAAACTTCCTTATACATCTAACCTTTTCCTAGAGCACTGCTGTCACCTCTCTCTTGTCTAAAATGTGACATTTAACTTAAGGTCACTGCTTCCCTTGAAGCCCTTTCAAATAAAGTTCTTCCTTCTTCCCCCATCTTCAATATATTGAGCAAGAAGTAAAGGCTGGCATTCTCCTAGCATGTCACTACAACTTCCAGACCAGCTACCTCTGCACTGAGGCTTTCATCATCAAGCCATGCAAACTCTGTTTCAGCCTCATTCCATCACTCTAGGGATGAAGGGATCTTAGGAAGAAAATTTTTTAACAGTCTGCTGTCATCAGCTTAGGTTCCCCCATTTTCCACTCTGCCTTTGTACTCACAAAAGAGGTGTAAAAACCTTTCCCCAACACTGACATTCGAGCACCTACTTATGTGACTATATGCTGTACTTTGTTCTCCAGAACTATTCCACCTCTAAAACCGGTAACCAAGGTATTCCACATTCTAAACAAAACTTTCTTTTATTCCAGATTTCTCACTCCTTTACCCTCACCAAACCTGCTC